AAAAAATAAAAATATTTCATTTATGAAACAAAAAATAAATATTTAAAATAAATTACATGCTTGTGTCTCTTGAATCTGAAAATATTCCGACTTATGAAAAAATAAATATATTTTATCTATGAAAAAATATATATTTAAAATAAATTATGTGATTATGAAAATAATAATAATAATATTTATTTTGATTTTTTTTTAAATTTCATAAAAATAATTAATTATTTTAATTTTTGACTTGGAAATTATTGATCATGTTTACGTTCAAACTTAATAAAATAAACAATTCAATAAAGTTGAAGATACGTTTTAAGCGCTATCATAAACTCTGGCTTTGACTCCATCCGGATATAAAACTAGTTTTGTACCAGCACTATGCTGCGGGGCAATAATTTTTTTCCAGTCAAAAGTAAATATATGGGTTTTAATAATGTATTTTTAGATATAAGAAAATAGACCTAAAAAGTTTACATATGTATCTAATTAATGAAATTGTTATTTAATTAGGAAATAATTAAAATTAACATACTTAATTTTGCAATATGAGTATTTCTTGGAATATTTTTTTATTTAGTGAAAAGACTATCTATACCCATAAAAAATAAAAAAAATTATAAACAGAAGCGAGCTGAATCAAACGATAGAGTTCAGCCATAAAACAATCCATTATTGAATGAAAAAATTAAAAAAAAAATATTAATTAAAAAAAATGATGAAAAAAAAGAGACATGGGTCAACCTATATAAATATAGTAACCTCGTGACTATATACTTAGGATTGAGATATAAATATAGTAACCTCGTGACTATATATTTAGGATTGAGATAATTCTATAAAAAAAACAAAAAAAAAACATGAAAACCAATTATAAAAAAACTAAATGTTGGAGGATATGAATGAAAATATATTAAAATATTTGATATTGTAACACAAATCATGTGCCAAGTTGCATTCAATAACCATGTTTACTATAATATATTTTCAAATAATCAAATTGTTGTATTTGTCAATAAAAGGTAAGAAAATCACAAATAAAAACGAATAAAATCAAACTATGAAACTTAACTATAAAACAACTCTATGTTAAATGAGAGAGTTGTAAAAGAAAATTAAAAAAAGAATCATGTTAATCTGCATTAACTCGCTAACCCTGCAACCATAAACACATGATTAGAATAACTTCATGTACAGGAAAGTGAAAAAAAAACACATAAACTAATTCCTAAAAAAATAGCCTTTAAATGAAGAAATTAAAAAAAAATCTAAAAAAATCAAAGTCAATCCATGTTAATTCTAGAAACTCATGACCATAATCATGTGGTCGGGACTTTCCTTCTAGAAGACAGACTCAAAAAAACAATGAAACAAGATTCTTAGTTAAAAAATATTGAGGTATAAGACTTGAAATAAACAATTTTAAAAACAACCAGAGTCAATTATGATTAACTTGCAAACCCCAAAACTACGAGAACATAATTAGAATAGCGCCGTAAAAAGGAAAGAGAAAAAAAATATCAACTCATTTTTTTAAAAATAATTGATGAAATTAAAAAAAAAATCAACTAATAATAATCTTTGAAACTCATGATCATACCCAAAAGATTGAGACTAATTACATAGAAGGCATGTAAAAAAAGAGATTGTTGAAGAATAATTTTTTTAAAAAAATAATAAAAAATATAAAGAACAACCTCAATTATCTCACCAACATTGTAACTATGAAAATAAGATTTGAATAGTCCTATAAAAAAGAATAAGAAAAAAAACACAAAAATTAATTTAAAAAATTAAATATTAAATGATAAAATAAATAAAAATCAATGATACAAAAGGTCTAAAAAAACAAAAATTCATTTGCGTTAACTTTCAAAACCCGTGTCCCAATAAAAAAAGTGTCGAGGGATATTTTTTTAAAACACAATAAAATAAATATTTAAAATAAAATAAAAATTTGTAAAACAAATAGAGACCAAATTTGACATGAAAAGATTGAAATCAAATGACAATAAATGAAATTGGAATAAATTTTACCAAGTGGAAAGGTTTAAAAATATCAAAAAGAATTAAAACCAACTTTAATATGAAAATAAAATGAAACCTGATGGTTATAAATGAAATAAAATAGCTATAAAAAATAAAAATTAAATTGAACATACATATAAATGATAGTATACACTCCTATACTTTGGACAAACACTTTTCATTTCTATTATATTTTATACATGTGATATTTTATACATGTAAAAGACTAAATTGCTAATAAATCAACTTTGACGATAACAAAAATAATTAAAATGAAAAGATAAAGACGATCTTTGGAACGAAGCTTTATTTTTGTTGCTTCTTATGATAGTTTAACAATTTAATTGTGTTTAAGAAATGAAAATGTCTAAAAGGCTCCTTGATATAAGTCTAGTTAAGTTATTTAACTATTATTCACGATGGAGGTTAGAAGTCAAATTTATTCCAAATCAGTTTGTCCGTTTAATAACGTGTCCATATAAAAAGACCGAAATAACCCCTTAATGTTATGTTACTATATGATTTTTTTTTAAGGTTTAAAATGGAAAAAACACTGATTGCTACAGTAGTTTCTTGGTAAGAAACCACTTCAGCTCTACACCCTTTTTTTTTTTTAGATTAGATTAATGTGGGTGTCTGGGCTAGCATGCGTGTACCACGACTAATCTCACGATTTTAGATTAATGTGGGTGTCCGGGCTAGCATGCGTGCACCACGACTAATCTCACGGGCCGGACCCTGAAATTAACAACCATGTAAACTTCCAATGACCATCATATGAGCAACCAAGAACTCGAACCTGAGATCACAGAGGAAATAAACCCTTTAATCCCAAGTCCTTACTACAGAGGGAGCAAACCCTTTAATCCTAAGTTCTTACCACTTGATAACCACCTAAATAATTAGCTCTACACCCTTCTTTGCCTTGAAGGATAAAGCTGCCATTTCAGTTTTCTTCAATATGAAATAAGCTGTCGGGGTCCATCAAAATCAATAAAATTGGGTTGCGATGGACTAATTTGTCTTGAATTTTTAGTATTTAATAGGAATAAACTTATGCGAGCCATTAATCATATGTCGTGGAGAACCAATTCTGGAACTTAATTTAAAAAGTTATGACGTATGAGAAAGGAAGTTGAAGACAGTAATCTCCTCAACTTCGGCTACCAATTTAATGGATACAGTTGAACTAATTGAGTGTTTTATATAGATAACTAACTAGATATTATTAACTAGATCCCGTTCATTTATTAATTTTGTTTTTTAAAAAAAAGTGATTTTTTTTAAAAATAAATTATTTTTTTATATTTGGTAATGTCATAAAAAATAAATTGAAAAATAATTTTTATTATTTGGTTGTGCTATGCAAAATAAGTTAGAAAATAAATTATTAATATTTTTTTCAAGCTTAAAACAAATCTTACAAATTTAAAAGTTAAATAAGAATGAAATATAAAAAAAATTAATTTTATAAATTATCTCTTGACAAATTAAAAAGTTAAATGAGAATGAAATATAAAAAAAAATTAATTTTATAAATTATCTCTTGTAAAATAAATAACAATTAAAATAATAAAAATCAAATCTAATAATAATAAAATTAAAATAATAATAATTATTATTTCATAAATTATTTCAAATAAAATGAGCAGCAATCAAAAGAATAAGAACCAAATTTGATAGATAAAAAATAAGAGAAAAGCAAATAACAATAATAAAAATTACCAAAGTTAATATAAAAATCAAATTAAATCAAATTTTAAAGGGTGAAATTGAAAAAAATTAAAAAATATATAGTAATAAAAATTTTGATGATCAAATTGATTATAATCAGTAAATAATATATTTTTAAATTTTTCATAACTTCTAAAAAGTGATTTTCACCTAAAATAAAAGGAAAATATTTTCTTAAAAATTAAGTTAAATTTTGCATTGATGAAAAATATTTCTTGTTGATTAATTTTTTTAATAGTAAACAAATATAAAAAAAATTTAAAAATAATTTTTTAAAAATCATTCTAGTTCTTAAAAAAAAATAAAAAGATAAATTGAAGCCCACCATATGGTAAATTGGTAATCCATCTCTCTACCAACCAAAATTAGTAATACCCCCGCGGTGCCTTACATGTCTACTGGGTTTGCAGGGTATTCAGTGGGCCGTGGGGATTAGTCGTGGTGCGCGCAAGCTGGCCCGGACACCCCACATAAATAATAAAAAAAAAAGATGCATTCCAGCGCTTGGCCTAGCGGTAGAAGGAGCTTGTTTCCTTCCAGGAGCTTGTCTCCTTTCATTGTCATGGGTTCGAGCCCTGACGTGCATGTCTGTCACCTCCATGGTACCTTACATGCTTACTGGGTTTGCAGAGTATTCAGTGGGCAGTGAGGATTAGTCGTGGTACGCGCAAGCTGACCAGGACATCTCACGTAAACAAAAAAAATTTGTTTATCGTGATGCGCGCAAGCTGACCCGGACATCTCACGTAAACAAAAAAAAAATTTGTTTAAAAAAAAAAGAAGAGATTTGTTAAAATTCGAACTGCAAATACGTGTGATGGGCAATTTCATAAAAAAAAAAAAAAACCGACAACTTTTTCCTCTATTGTCAGTCTGTGCACTGTATAATCTGTCATGGTACAAACCACCTAAATTATTGGCATTAATTGCTAATTGTCATAATGTACGAAGCTGTTTAGTTTCATCAATGTCTCCAATGCTTTCTCCTGTACCTTGGAGGAAAGACAGCTAATCAATGCAGTCCTGTCAGTTCATATAGCTGATGTCTAGCTATCAATCTCTAGGTAGTGGGTTTGTTTTGGTGTCGAGTAAAATCGGTTCCCATCTCAACAAGAAAGAAAACTGGCATTGTATTTTTTCTGGACAATACTCCATTTTTCCGGTAACAACTGGATAATTACAGGCAGTTGAAGACAGATCACCAAAACCAGCTGACTCTGTAAACGAAAGTAGTTATAAGTTGAAAAGTTTCAAGGGAAAAAGGTGGCCAAACATCCAGGGTCTCGATTAGGTAACTGGCTGCTTGTCAATTTCACTTCACCACAGATGTGTGTAGATGGTTGAAGCAGAGAGAGAGAGGGAGAGGGAGAGGGAGCAATAAAGGATCATTTAAGGTAATGGCAGCCAGTTAAACATTGGAGATGAAAACAATTGTTTTTCACTAAAACAGTGGGTCTCAAGGCCGCAGCATGTTTCCCTCCTAGGGTGGCTAAAATGATGGAAAGTATCAATCTTGACATTATCTTTTAGGGTTTGTTCTATTTGATCCATGTGAAACTTGTCAGCTGGTAAAGTGGTCATTTCTTCACAAGCTGACAAGGCGACTTTTACAGTCATGAATCGAGATGGAAATTTCTACCTGCAGGAACCCATAGATCCATTGAAAACCGTTTCAAGGACCCGTTGATGTTTTGGCAAGTTAATAACCCCTATCGATGCCGGGGACAGTTAAACATGCTCTACACCATACCGGAACTATACTGGCTAGATTTTGATCTTTATGACATTTGTATGTATGTGTGCAGAGAGGGGGACCTACTTTATCAACAAAAGTGTGGAAGTGTTGCCTATTAAATTAATATTTTTAAGGGTATAAGACCTACTTTATCAACAAAAGTGTGGAAGTATAATTGTTTTTGTGTTTGTATAATTGTTTTTGTGTTTTTTTATTTTTTATTTTCTTTACTTTAAATTAAGATTTTTTTGTGTTTTTAGATTATTTTGATATGTTAATATAAAAAATAAAATAAAATAAAAATATTATTTTTATATATTTCTAAATAAAAAATACTTTTAAAAATAATAATTATTACACTCCAAGACAGTGTCTATAATTAAAATTATGACTCATGATTGCTGTATTGCCATTCTACATGAACATTGTGACTCTTATCTTTCTTTTTTTTTAATAGCAGCAACACTATGGACCATCAAAATCCATAAAAACAAGTGAACAGTAAAGCCATCCCGCTCAGTTATTCTCCTTGTATCTGCGTTCAATGAATAAAGAGTAGCCCTTTAATTTTGGCACACAGAAGCTCCATCCAGTTTGGAGAGTGTCTATGCTGTTTAATGTCTGTAGACCCATGAGTTCTAGGAAGCCCCACTTTGCAAGCAAGGAATCGGTGCTCTTTCTTGCACCAACACTTATCAACGGTGCTTGGCTACTGTTATTTTGTTAGTTGTTTCTTGAAATTTATATATATAAAAAAAAGATTGATGCGAATAGAAGAGAAAAATTCTAGATGCATATATTTTTATTATTTTTTATAAGTTATTGTTTTTTTTTAATATGAAATAGGACAAAGAGTAACAATAAAATATCACTAATCTTTTTTTTATTACTGTAAATCTTTTTCTTATTCACCTATCTCGGAGACAGAGGTAGGGAGCTGTAGTGAGGTCAATTCGAAATTGCAAAAGCCAGTCAAAACTTGAGGAAAGGATGATCATAGGATATCTCATTCACTTTGGTGTATGGAATATTATATATGACGATTCTAGATAATGCCATCATTTTAAAGCGTTGTACCCTTCTTTAACGAACACAAACCTATTATTTAACACTACTTTATGTAAATAATCCCCTGGGATGATCCATGCTGTTGTTCTTAATAATAAATAAAAATAATTAATTGAAATAGAATAAGATTAATTATGTGTTGAGTAGATTTCACGGGGAAAAGTTTTCCGGTTGAGAAAAAGAAGGCATGGGTACATCTCAAGATCCACTCATCCTCTTGAAATCGGGTAAACTTCGAGGAAGACCTGGTTCTTCTCAAGCTCGAGGGATAGTACGTGGTGGCAATTAAGGGTTGACATGGCTCGAATAATTATTATATCAAATCAGTGATATAAGTTCTCTGGTAGGTCGAAGACTCTCTAATAATTAAATCGAATCAGTAGATGAAGAGGGAATGGTGCCTAGTTGAGAGTTTATTTGCTGTTCGCTTGTTTTTAATTTTTTTTAATATATTTTTTGATCTCTTTGATCTACTTATATCAAAAATAAATTCTAAAGAATAAAATATATTAAAATATATTTTAATGAAAAAAATAATTAAAATAATGATTGTTTTCCATAATAATAAACACACACTTAATAATAAACACACACTTAGTATAAAGTGAAATAAAAAAACATTAACTATACACTAAAAGAGCTCATTCTTTTAGTGTATTATGATTGTTGCTCATCATCTCATTAAAGATTAGAGTAGTAGCTTTTTTAAATTTTAATTTGATTTTTAAATTTTAATTTTACATGATTTAATCCTTTTGAGTTCAAATCAGTATTTTTTTTGGAATGGAAGGTTAAATTGAAAAACAAATAACTAAAGTGAAAAAAATAGATCGAATCAGTGACAAATTTGAAATTTATCTTCAAACTTTATTTTAGTCCCCCATCTTTTTTGGCTCTTAGATTAATCAATCTCTTTGATTTTTAAAATTTTAATTTTAATATCAAACTTTATTTTTTTTATTTTCAGTCTTTCTTTGGTGATAAAAAAGTGAGAGACTAACTGGATTCCAACATAAAGAAGGAAAATTATCATTAGTGATGATTCCAACCATTAAAAATGTTGATTTTTTGCCAAATAGTTTCATGTAATGAAAGGAGTTCACACCAAATATTTTTTTTTTTAATCTTGAAAGTGCCTAAAAACATATCTAGTCCCAGGAAGATTTTTGTTTTTGAGTTTTAAGGCATTTGTTTTTGTGTTTTTTAAGGTCATGAATTGGTTAACATGGTTTGTACGGTTTTCCTAATTGTATTTTTGGTAAAAAATGGGTTTTTGGTTAAGATATTTTTTATGCCTTTTTTCTACATAATTTTTTATTTTATGTTTTAATTAATATTCGTTGTATGTGATTTGTTTTGCTTATTTGGCATTTTTTTTAAATGGCAGTATTTTTTTTTAATTATATTGGGTATATTTAATTTTTGAGGAGGTTAATATGATTCTTTTATAATTTTTATTGTGTATTTTATATAGATTAAATTTATTTTTAAAATTTATTTTTTTATTTTTTATAATATTTTTTTACCTTTTATTTTATTCAATAAATTTTATGAGTGTCGATTTCTATTACAAATTTATTTTAATAAACAAAATCATCAAACATAACTAGGTAAAGGATTTGTTTTGCTATATTAAATATCTTAATCTATATTTGTCTCCTGATTTTATTTTTATTTATTGTCAATTTCTTTTTCTATTGAATTATTTCAACTTCATGATTTAAGACGTGTGATAGACAATTATTATAGATATATCTCATGTTCAGGTTACAAGTTTCATGATTAATGTAACGATTAAACAATGATAATAACAAATGTCAAGGTTAGAGGTTCCACTAATGGTATATCAAACAAGTATAGTATAAACTCTTATTATTGAATTGGAAACCACACACAAAGGAGGTTCCAATCAGATTATATATTGTTAACATGATTACATTAGTCATCTTATTCAATTAATGCTAATACTTGTAAATCTCGTCAAGCATTCATGATTATAACTTATGTTAACAACAAATCAAGTTCCTTTCATAGCTCAGGTGTCGGTTATACCATACATTATGGGCTATGAAAGTGCCAAGCATTTGTTGTACCAAGTGTTATACAACATAAATCAAGATTAGTCATTTAACAAGCAAAGTATTAAAGAGTGAACAAGATAGCAAATATAAAACATGTTAGTATCAAACATTAAAGTCCATATTAAGTTTACATTATACTTATTCTTACACCATTAGTGTAACCTTTTCACCTTGACATAATTAACTTAGCTAGACATAATGAAAGAAAGCAAAATAGATAAACAAAATAAGAACATAAAAGTTAACTAAGTAAAGGAAAGGAAATGAAAGGCATAAACTTAATATTAATGAAAACAAAGCATAAAAAATACAAAGAGAGAAAGGAAGAGCATGATCTTGATCTGAACACCAAGATGCCTAAATGCATGGCAAATGCCTCCTTTTATAGGCCAAAAATGGGAACTATTGATTTGATGACTAATTGATAAGTGGGTGACCAACTTTTGACTTGGTGACAATCCTTATCTTCTCTTGTCTGCCCAAAACGTCATTGATAACGTCAAAACTGGAGCCAGTTGCAAACATGAAAGTTGTAGGCAATTGTCTCAGCTTTCTTGTGTAAAAACTTCAGCTCATTTGGACTTCTAGAACTCCAGATATGGCCAAAATACCGAACAGTGCTCGGGCTGGAAGACAGATTCGGGCTTCTTTGTTGTTGCTACAATTTGGACTTGATAATGGCCTTTTTAGATCTTGGGCTCCATATGAAAGTTGTAGGCCTATGTCTTACCTTTCCATCCATATAAATTGGACCTAAATCTGAGATATATAGCTCCAGATATGACCCATTTACCGAACAGTGTTCCGGTTTGGATTGCACCGACATCTCTTTTCTAAGTTTGGCTATCTCTTTATCCTTGCAATTTAAGTTCTTAAAGTCATCAATTAATCCTTTCATTTATGTGATAGGCCTGCATTAAAAATAGACATTTACCACAAATTAAAGGTATCTTATATTATTAGATATATTATTATAAAACATGCTTTAGTTAAGGAGTTATTAATACTTCAAGTGCAAAATGATGATATAAAACCTTGATAAAAATGCACTTTTAAGTACTAATCATTAGCTCAACTTTGTTTCGGGCAATATTGTTTTTTATTTGTTATTGTTACCTTATTTTTTTATTGCATCATTAAATTAAATAAGATTTAACACAATTATTTAATTTCTCTTTCTTCTTTAAAAACATAATTGTTTTCTATTTTTTTAATTAAAATAATTTTCATTTGGCTCGTGACATCGCACTGGGCACCAATCTAGTATGTAGCTATTTACGATAAATTGCAAGTTGGCTGCTTGAAAAACAATTGGACCAAGTAGGTTTGAATATTTTATTATAGTAATGTATTCGCCTTGATGTCTGCGCTTTGCTGTGGAGTCAATATAGTTTTTTGTACAAAAAATGATGTTCATGTATTGAAAAAGAGTAAAAGGGAACAATAAAAATTGGTTACGATAAATGTATATCAATGTTAATTAGGGTTAAGCTAATATAGAACACTCTGCCAAACTTGCGGTTTGGATTATATTACTGGAATGACCCAATAAAAAATATAAAGAATTATAAATCCCTTCAAAAAAATAGGTTAACTTTTTAAACCTATGACGTGAGTCATTAGACCTGAAACATTTAATCTATAAAAACCATGAAGTTTAATTTCTAATAAATAAAATGTTGAATGATGAAATTGACGGAAAAAAATTCGATCATACAAAAGAATTTTAGAAAATAACAATTTAACGAATGAAGATCAAAATCACTATTACCACTAATATTAATATGTAATATCATCATTAATACCATTATCATTATTACTACTATTTTTATTTTAATAATTGTTAAAATTACTATTATTATTATTACTATTATCATTATCACTATTATTATTGTTATTGTTGTTGTTGTTGTTATTAGTGCTAACATTATCATTATTAGTAATAATAGAAATAATTCTGTTAGTATTATGACCATCTTAACTACAATTGTCACAACCACATCACTATCGTTATTACTATTGTTGTTGTCATTACTATTGTTATTATTCCTATTATCACCACTATTATTATTAGTATTTTTATTATCATCACTATTCTTCTTTTTCTTCTTCTTCTTCTTTTTCTCCCTCGCATTGTTGTTGTTATCATAATTATTGTTACTATTATAATCATTATCATTCTCACCGCCATCATTATTAATATTATTGTTATTATTACTAATACCATAACCATTATTTTATTATCATTATCATTATCATTATAATTATCACTACCAACATAACTAGTATTATTATAACAAACTATTATTATTACTATTGTTGCTATTACAACCATTAGTATCACTATTAATATTATTATAAATATCATTATTATTATTATTATCATTATTACAATCATCATCACTATTATTACCATTACTAATACTATTATTATCACTATTACCATTACCATTACCAGTAGTAGTAATATCAGTGCTAGTGCTATTATTACTACAATTATTTTTATTATCGTAACTAATTTAATTATTATTATTATTATTATAACTAACATTACTATTTCTTCTTCTTCTTCATCATAATCGTTGTTATTAATATTACCATTACTATTGTTGTTATCATTGAAAAAATAAAATTTATGAATTTGATTTGAATAATAGAATTAAAAAATATAAAAACTTTATAAAAAAATAAGAAAAACAATAAAAAATAAGAGGTATCAAATTGGAATTGTTGTTATTATCGTTGAAAAATAATCTATAAACTAAAAGCCATAAAATTTTTAACAAAAATATAAATGGAAAAAATAAAAAACTAAAAGTAGAACTAAAAATTCAAAACCTTGGTGAGACCTAAAGGTCCGCGGGCACACATGCATCCCGGGTGCATCACAATCAAGGAGAAATTAAGATGAACCAGAATTTATAACAATTCAACTCAAATTCCGAAAAGATGGCAAGAAGCGGCGTTGCAAACGGAGAAAAAGGTAAATAGGAATGAGATAACACGGAGAGCGAAGCACTCTAGTTTCTTTAAGAACACACTAGAAATCTTAAACGTCTGCTAGCACCCTCCATTTTCAAGCAAGTAGCTATGATTTCCATATTTTTAATTTGATTTTCTTTTAATTTCTTATTGGAGACATTTATTCCAGACCAAACTCCGAAGTCCGCTTCCCTCCGGTGTTAAAATGGATGAGCACGTTGTCCTAAATAGTGGGTCTAATGGCGGTTTTCCCCCCTTAAACTATTGAGGTTGTAACACATTGAAACCTGTACTATCAATTTAGTTAGTTTTGTTCTTAAATTATTGTATTTTCAGCGGATAATGTCCCTCTGTTTGGTTTGATAGTTAAGTATGATGAAAAACCCATCTTAAAAGATTTCATGTTTTAGTATTTAACTGAGAATTTTAATAGATCCGAAAGAAAATTCAATCCACCTTAACAAATAAATTTTATTTTTTTTGAAATATGAAATTAATATTGTTATTTATTTTGTTAAAGATAAAAATACGATAAAATATAAAATAAGATGGAATTATCTCAATTTTCTTAGTCCTAAAGAGGTCATATGAATCTACGTAGATAATACTAGTACAGTTCTTAAACATTTTGCATTTGTGTTCTCAAAACTAACCTATTTTAAGCTTGCATATCTGACCTTGCAAATATTTTGAGAATCATACTAAGACTAGGCAGATAAATTTATATGATTTCTTGGGACCCTCGATAAAATTTAAGATCATTTCAAACTACTTTCTATTTATTTATGATTATTTTAATATCTAAGAAAAAAAAATTGCTTGCCCTCAGAAAATATTTTTTCTAAAAGCTTATTGGATTTTCAGCTAAAAATACCAAATATTATATTTTAAAAAGGATTTTTTTTTATCAATTATAATAGATAAATTAAATGACTACTTGCCTAAAACATTATAATTCGAGGAAAAACTTAATCGAATTGATAGTATAAACCTTAACGCGCCCCTTTATACTTTTAGGGCAGAACGGGCAGAAATCTCATCAAACCATAAACAATTCAAACCCACTTCTAGAAACATGAGTTCCCTAAAAACTTTTGATTGATTACAATATTCTTGAACACTCTTAAAAGACTATAATACCCTTAAAAACAACAATTTGAGGATAACAGCGCCAAGCCAAACACCAACAACATCATGTAACACCGCCCTAGACAGGAAAAACACCAACAACATCATGTAACACCGCCCCAGACAGGAATAGCATTGCCACTGGACCTATCAGGCTCAAGAATCGCATGAAAAACATTATTGCAAGGCAAAACAAAAACGCAAAAGGTTCCAAGCACCATGCAGCTAGTTACCAAAAAAATAAAAACATCATGTGACCTGTAGAATAGAATGCATTCCTCAAATCATATAACTGAACTTTCACGAAGCAGCTGAGGCATTAGCCACAACTATTATGAGGTTTCTTCTGAATTTTTTTTTAAAAAATCCATCCAAAAAGTAAATTTTGGTTCAGGGAGTAACTCCCCCTAAAACTGAATTATTTGTGGAAAAATTCGCCGACTAAATTCTCAGAAGTCAAGATTTTCATCACCATCTAACCTAAATGAAACGACAAGAATGAAGATATAGCTTCCATTTAAGCACCACCAGACCCGTACTTCTTGCCAAATACAATCAGCTGCAACTTGTCATAACCGGCAAGCACACCAGCACCAGCAATGGCTCGGAGGATGTTTGCTCCAGCACCCTTGAAGAGAGACTTGGCACCCTCATTCTTCAAAATCTGAGAGAAGGCATCGAGTGAGCTTTTATACTTGACAGCTTCACCAGAGGTCATCATCATTCTTCTACGAACAGTGTCAATAGGGTAGGAAGCAAGACCAGCACCATTGGTGATGAGCCAACCAAGGGCAAAGCTTGCAAAGAAACTATCCTGTAAAAATCATAAACATAAAACATGTTACAAAAACCAAAAATGAATCCCCTATTTCAACAGAACTTTAAAAGAAACTATCATGTAAAAATCACAAACAGGAAACATGTTGAAAAAGCCAAACTAAATCCCCTATTTCAACAAAACTTTCAAGAAGTTTAAACAAAAATAGTGAACTTGCAATCTGACTTCCAAAATTAATAATAAGATAAAGCAACCATCTTGCACGCACACAATGAGTTAATTGCAGTGTATATATAATTAAAAAAATCTAGAACTCCCAACACAAAAAATTAAAAGCACATGGTTTTGTACAGCAGAACCATGTCAGAGGTTTTATGATGCTTAGAAAACAAAAGAACTAGATACATTTACCATGGAAAAAAGAATGTCTCCATAAGGGAATAAAATTCAGTTGCTAAAGTGTAAAGCCTAAGCTAGTGGGCAACATAATCTTGCAACCATGTAATCATCAGACAAATAAAGCATAACAGAAGTGTTGACACTAACCTGCATGTCTCCGGTAAGAAGCACAGGCTTCAAGGAGTCGTACATCCCAAAATAAAGACCGCGATAGACAATAATTCCAACACAAGAAATGTTAAATCCACGGTAAAGCCCAGCAATACCATCAGAAGCCATTGTCTTCTTGTAGACATCAATGAGCCCATTGAATTGCCTCTCTCCTCCCTTCTTTGCAGCCTTGGCATCATTGGCCAAACGGGTTCGAGCATAATCCAAGGAATAGACAAAGAGAAGGGAAGAAGCACCAGCTGCACCTCCTGAGGCCAAGTTCCCAGCAAACCACTTCCAGTAGCCATCTCTGTCTTTCTTAAAGTTGAAGAGCCTCTTGAAGTAATCCTTGAATGCAAAGTTCAAGGCCTGACAGTTTCGCAAACACAATGAGCATAAAATTGAAAAAAATAATCATATTAACTGAAAACCGAATTGAAAATGCTTGTATACCTGAGTAGGGAAATAACGGATGACATTGGCAGTGTTCCCTCTCCACAATGAACCAAACCCTTCGTCCTTTATTGTTCGCTTAAAACAATCACCAATGCCCCTGTAGGGTTCAGAGAGCCTACCAGTTTTAAGCATCTCGTCCTGGTTTTGAATCAAAAGCTTAACACGCTCAATGGGAGCAGCAGCAGTTTTGGATACAGCTGCAGAGACTCCACCCATAAGGAAATCAATAGCAAAGCTAGCTAAACCTTTTTCTGATGGGGCTTGAACAAGAACAGATGATGCAGTAGATGGAACAATAGATAATTCAGTAGCTGCTACACATGCCCGTCCCATGGGGTACTGGAAAGCAGGATTTGAGTAGTTGCCATAAGCACACCTTTGGTGCAGAGCAGGCCTCTGGAAAGCCCCATCACAACCAAAATCATTAGAAACACTGGAACGAAGGAACTGGCCAGCTACTTTCTGCATAACAGAAGGGTGTTGAATCTGCTCAGCCATTGTGACTTTTCCTGCAAAGATGGCAGCACCAGCTGTTAAAAACAGCTTATTTTAAAGGTAAAATTAACAAGAAAACTGTGTTTAGGCCAGCACAAATGGAGATACAGATAATAGGATAAGCAGACTATAAAAATCAAATCACAAAGCAGCCAATGTACCATGCATAAAATCACACCAGGGAACATTGGTATGAAGAGAAACAAATAGTTTCTGGTTCCCCTAGAATACTGGGGCAACATAAATTCAAATAGCCCAAATACTCCATCGAGGATTACCAATAAAAAGTACAACGCCAATCCCGCATTCATAGCAAGCAAATGAACAGAAATATAAATCAGAAGAAGCTACAGACAAAGGATTAACAGACAAATAATTTAAACTACCTAATAAACACAACAATAGTTTAAATAAACAGCTCAACTGAATCCATCTAAAAGTATAAGAATCAGAATTTAAACAAGCATGTGGACGTACCATTAGGAAACAACTTTCCACATGAAAAAATATTAGTTCCTAAGTAAATGTATATTTCGTTTTTTGGTTGCTCAAGTTGGCAAACCTCAGCTAAAAAACAAGACCAGGCAATGAGGAAAGGATTCATCATCCTATACAACACCGGTTCATCAAATCAAGAATAGAAGTAGAAAAAAAGTAAACAATAAGAAACAACAATCAAAATGCCAACAACATCTAATCAATCGTTCACTTCCAAATAGATAAAAATAAACAATTGTTATTATACAACCAACAAAATTAGAGAATCCGGTACAGGTTGCCAACTTTTGAATAGACATAAATTTGTTGAAACAAATCTATCTAAAAATGAACTAGATTCTATTAAAACAACGCTGAATCAAAACAAAAATAACAACTGAGAATAGAAAACGGAGAGAGTGAAAAAAAAAAGGTGTGAAGAGTTTCAGCAATAAATCCTAAGTAGTAAAGTAAAACAGTTCATCGGAACATACTTTACCACATAACTCCGGAACACATGAGCAGATCTCAACAGTAATTTCATAGCATACGAAGTGGATTTTCAAAACTCGAAGCATGAAAATAGTATTTAAACAGATCTGAGATAATTGAAAGAGAGAAGCAAAAAGTAAAAGCGCAGATCTAGTAAATCAAAGAGATAGCGATGACAATTCAAGAGCGCAACAAGAAAAGAAGAGGATATCAGATCCAGAAAACCAATCAATACATAAACAGATCCAGTAAAACAGAGAGCAGAAACAATAACAGATTAGAACTGACAATTTAGATCATTCGATGGAAGAAATCGAGAGATCTGAGAGAGAAAGCAGATAGGAATAATAACGTCAAAGGAGAGTAGATCTGAAGACTAACTTACCTGATTAGTGGCTGTGTGTGAGAGACTGGAGGAGGCTATCGAGAGAGAATTTCAGGGGTCTCTCCAACTTTCGCTGAGCGTTGAAAGAAATTGCAAAAGCAAGAGAGAGATGTGTGGAGGAGGAGAGGCTTCGAAAATAGTGAAACTATCCCCTATTTAATTGGTGCTCCCAATGAGCTTTTTTGGCTGTGTTTTGCTGACCATTTACCATGTGACTGGCTAGTTGGGTGGGCTCTGATTTGTTGCCTCGCCAATCTTTGGGGAAGACCATGCAGGTGCAGCTGTCACCCTTTTTTAATTCGGTCAACTAAGACATTTTTTTTTAAAAAATATTTTATGCCCTAGAAGAAATTGGTTACCTTCAAAGAAATAGAGCGGTAGGCGTGGAGAAAATAACGATCAAAATTTAGATTTAGAGCTAAATATGAAGAATATTAAATTGGCAGCATAAGATCTTCTAAACTTGACCGTCCCATGTTATACGAGAATCTGGTGTTTTCTTTTTATTTATGCAAGATTTTATATATATTCTATGTATGCTAGAAAGTAGAAAGGTGCATTATTTAATTTTTTTTATTATAAAAGAGGTAGCGTTTTTTGGTGGAGTGATGGGGTGGCCGGTCCGCCAACGCCATTGTCCTATGCGACTGGTGAGGCGTGATTCGTTACGGGAGACTTGAGCGGTGGACAACGGACTGAATGGTCAAACTGGGCTTCTTCTTCTTTTTTTTTATCATTTTCTCAAAGCTCTTTTAACATTATTTTTGTATGCAAAGGAGAATTCTTTGGGCCCCAGACTGCTTATGGACCGGAATCAAATTTCTATAGGTGCTAAAATATTAAGTCCAGCCCCAGCTCAACAAAAAGGCTATCATGTTAAAAATGGTCCGAGCCGTGGTTTATCTGACGTTGGAGGCCCCATCCGAGGCTAGCCTTTGGAGTTTGGACAGGGCCTCGACTAGAGTCTCTATCTTTGTCTTTTTCTTTTTTCTTTTTAAATCCTATGAAAAAACGAAAACCTCAATGCAGCCCTAAAATTATAGTTTTGAAATTTAGTTAGTCAGATCAACCTGGAACCTAATTAATCATGGAATAGAATTGAATTGGGTTTTAAAAAAATAAAAATATTAAAATTATAGTTACAACTTATTGATTTTTTTACTAAAATAATATTATTTTGATTTAAAAAAAAATGATCCAGACAACCTAATTATTATATCAAAACTCGAAACTTGAACTGGACTGATTTAAAAATTATACCTAAAACTATACACTTCTTTCTCATTTACATCCCAAAGCTATAAATTTTATCAATTAAATTCCAAACATTTCCTACATTTCTCAAGCACGTCCTTTTGGTCGGTTTCTTTTAATATCTCATTTATGATGTTTTATACACTAAATGATATTGATTAAAAGAAAGATTTGACAAAAAATTACTGAACTTCGCATTTCTGGTCCATTATGTATACTTATGCACTAAAACGACATTAATTTGAAGAAAAAATGATAAAAATATTTATGAACATTAAAAAAAACTTATTAAGTTTTTTTTTTTTTTGGAAATGTCTGAGATCTAATTATAGATTTTAGACTCATTTGATAATTACCACGTAGATTCTAGATTAAATTGAGTTGTCTCCAAAATCTTAGACATTATCTCGTTATGATCAATTAATCAACATGAACCTCGAAACATGGCTGAACCACCTGTCATGCAAGTTTTTATTCCTAGCCTTTGGAGTTTGGACAGGGCCTCGAGTAGAGTCTCTATCTTCTTCTTTTTTTGCATTTTTTTTTTGTTTTTAAACCCTTGAAAAAACGAAAACCTCAATCTAGTCCTAAAATTATAGTTTTGAAACCACGGAATTTAACTAATTCTGGACTAGAATTAGAATCAAGTTGAATTTAAAAAAAGTTAAAAAAAAGCAAAATTATAGTTATAATCTGTTGATTTTTTACTAAAATAATGTTATTTTGATTTTAAAAATTTAATCCAAATAATTTAGTGACCAAAACTCACATTCCGGACCTTGAATCGGCTAAATTTAAAAACCATGCCTGAAATTATATGCTCCTTTCTTGCATCCCAGACCTGCAAATTTTATCAATTAAATTCCAAATATTTCCCACATTTCTCAAGCATGTCCTTTTGGTCGGTTTCTTTTAATATCTCATTTCTGATGTTTTATACGCTAAATGATATTGATTAAAAGAAAGTTTCGACAAAAAATTACTGAACTTGGAGTTTCTGGTCTATTATATATATTTATGCACTAAAACGACATTAATTTGAAGAAAAAAATGATAAAAATATTTGTGAACGTTAAAAAAACTTGATTAAGATTTTTTTTGGAAATGTCTGAGATCTAATTAGAGATTTTAGACTCATTTGATAATTAGGACGTAGATTCTAGATTAAATTGAGTTGTCACGAAAAAACTTACACATTATCTCATTATCAATTAATCAAAATGAACCTCGAAACGTGGCTGAACCACCTGTCATGCAAGCTTTTATTTTGATCTCTACGGGTTTTGATTCATACAAGTCGTGCTATAATTAATTGCTCTGGTGGCCGTTTACAATCTTGCCATTTATTGGCTTCTATTTCACCTATCAATATTTTTCTTAGTTCTCACACTGTCTACAGCACCACTTTTGTAAAAAGCAAGCTCTTCTTTTTTCCTGGCCAGAGAAAAGCATAATTAATTTTGAAAACTAATTTGTGTGCAAAATTCGCCTGCCTTAATTTAGTTTACCAAGCAAGGTCATCTAGTCAACCTGCAGAAATTTCTTTGTTTAATTAAAAATGGAGTCCGAGCTTTCAGGAAGAATGCCATAGGGAATTGATAGTTTGCTTCGGCTGAAGACAATAATTGAAGGGCCCAGACCGAATTTCTGGGTTATTTATGATGCCAAGTTTCGAACCATGGCTCTGCTTAGACCAGTGCCCTTCGCTTCGCATAATTTGATCGGTTCTTACAGACAAAAAAGTTAGGAGTCCTTCTCTGCTTTGTGAGCTTAGGTCGGCAATCCGAAAGTCATCTCCGACAAAGCGAGGGAAAGGAAAGAGGGGTCGGGCAGCTACAGATAAGAGTGAATGTCCGAGGCCGAGGAATGGCTACCCGGCGAACACGAGGTGCCGATCACTATTCATGGCCAGACAAAAAGGGACAGAGTAACCTCAGGGTTCATTTCATGCCCCCGGAAGGTAAGCCACAGGATCAGGAGCGGGGAGGAGGAGGGAAAAGAAAGAGGAGGAGAGTTTTCCCATTCGATCGATCAATTCAGAGTCCCGAACCGAAGCCCATACTCCGACTAAGAAAAGTGGAAGTTCCTACACGGGGAACATTGACATACGATCTTTCCGGATCAGGGAGCAGAGTATGAACCTGCAGCCAGCATGAAAGAAAGCCACCAAGCAAGATAGGCAGTGATCGAAGTGTTCGGTTCTACAATGTTACTGCAATTAAACTGTTAGGTCCTCCAAGGTTCTATTTTGTAATAAAGCAAGTAAATGACAAGTAAAATACAGTTGAAATTAATGTGACGAGCAACACTTGTCAAGAATATGAAATTAAAGCCTTCCTAGCGTACTTGCTGTAATGTTTATAACACTTTCATCCTTTAAGCAAAGTAGCAAATGAGAGAAAATGGTCAGAAACAATAATGTTACAAAAGTTCGTGAACAGTGATATCCAATCATGGTATTGGATTCCCCCCCTCTTGTAAACAACCCTTGGAGGACCTCAGCTGTCAACCTCTCAAGGGTCATCATCATTTAACTGTTCTGTGAGAGGGGAAATCATAGCATGTGCAACAGGATTTAAACGTACAGTTGATTGTAAGAGGATTTAAATCATTTTATGCATATGTTCTGGTTTTCAAGATGCATAGAACTCAAAACCATCCTTTTTCCTGCCCTTATTTTACTTGGGGAAGAGTACTGGTATTCTTTTAAATCATCTAGTTTAATTGTACAAGAGTAATGCTTGTTTTATCGAGACTACGACTATACTTGCAAGATATAACCGCCATTGAATTTGTGAGATCCGCTAGGACTACCATTTGATTCCATTTATTCGATGAAAGAGATTGTTCTTTCTTATTTCGAAGGTAATAATTCGGGAAAGATTAAATTAGCATTATTCATTGTTGAAACTACGTTTCAGAACTAACGATGTGCTCGGACACGCACCATATTTGAAATGACTTTAATGGTTGCGTGCTCAAGGACTGGCAATGCTTGACCACTGGATCGGTGGAAGAGGGAACAATATTTTGTGCCTAAGGCACAGCAACCAATATCAAGCAGGAAATAAACTTTACTTAATTTTGTTGCAAATCTATTTCTTTGTTTTGGTCAGAGACCGCAAGCAAAATATAGTTAAAAAAACAGTATTTGTGATTTGATTTGGACTTTATTGGGTTTTCAATTTCGGAGGCAGTTGGTTGGTATTATCAAAACAATCTTGGACATGGAGACTCAGAAGGTCATAATTCCGATTTCCCGTAGGCACACACTCGTGCAATCTTGGAGACATAAAATTATAAGAAATGGGCCGTGGTCAGATTAAAGACTCCAAGACAACATTTGAAAATATAACCAGTAAGAGAGCTTACAGACATGGAAAAACATGATTTTCGTTCCTCAACGAAATCGACCTTTTGAGATGGACAGATTTCTCAGTAGTTCAAATGCTCAATAAAATACTTGATGCAAGCTGACATGATTTCGTCTTCCTCTGTGATCAGCTGTTGAGCTAGCTCAACACCCCCTCCAACACCTTCTGATTTATTCACCAGGTGCATGTGTCAGATATTCACGAATGAAATCCTAAGAGTACAGATTTATTGAGGAAATTAACCCTTCCGCACATAGAGTCTCCAAGTATTGAGAACATGAATCTGGGAAGTGCAATTTGTTAATTATATATTTTCCCAATTTCTTTGATTCTAACTTGGAAGTTGGTACTCTTAATTAATTTTAGTTGGGATGAAACGCACCCTCTTTATGTCTAATAGTCAACATAGCTCCCAAAGAAGTCATCGTTCAAAACCAAGTATAGTTATGGTTTGAGGAATTCAAAATCACGGTTCCCTTTGTTTATTATTATTTTTTTTAATGTATTGACGGTGAAATTGGTTTGAATTTCTGATCTTGGGTTAGCTTTAGTTACCATTTCCCAGAAGATACGTGCAATAACACATGTTTCTATAGGTTTTTGAACAAGAGACCTAGCTCCTCCTGTTTTATATATATATAAAACATCAACGAGAAGAAAGTCCTCATACGATTATAATTAATTGTAAGGAAATAAAGAATTGTATATGAAAAACATGCAAGAGTATTATCATTCTTAAGTGTCAACAAGGAGTATTGTTATTATCGTTACTATTATTATTTTGCTAGTATATATCCTGTTATATAATAATTAAGTTAAATATATTTTTTAAAAACACAAAAATAAATAAAAAAAATTACCTTGAATTTGATGCATATCTCTTACGTGTCCAGCTTCTTCGAACCAAACATCTGATAGTGGCTTCTGGAAACGAACACACGTCTCGCCCTGACTTGTAAACACATAAATCCACGAGTGTACAGGTTCAAATCACTTGGAAGAGTAGAACGACAAATTGAAAATGACCCCTTTTATCTTAACAATTAAAATTCTCGAAGAACACTGTACAAATCCTCAAATCCTCGAGCCTAGACAGGCACGTACAGTAGAATTCACTACTATATTCTGGCTTCCTCTTCATCATCATCTTCTGACACAGTGCAAGCCATTGTATAATGATGTGACTTAACATGGTAGCATGCATGGAGTCCTAGATTTGTCAATATGTGTCGCCTCATTAACTTTAAAACACCCCATCTATGCACGTAACGAGAAAAAGTGGTTGATTACACAGTATATCGTACAATATCAAAACCCAACGCCATTCTTTAACGAGTTTGTTGACTGAGCTAAAGAATGCCGCTGGTAAAAGGGCCATTTCAATCCCACAGTCTCTTCAAGTATTTGAATCCACAGAAGTCATTTTATTTTTAAAAAGAAAAAAAAACAAAGTCTAGCGACTTATTCATTTATTAGTGTGTGTATTTTTGAAGAATACAATGAAGTCCTCGAGATTGTATAGTGTGTGTATTACAATGAAGAAGATGTTGAGAGAATGCACTCCAGAGTTTACGAAGTTAAAAACTCTAGAATGAAAAAAAGGGTAGAAGAGGCGGTGGTTTTAAATCTTGGATTAAATATGAGTTTCTTCTTCCGAGATTGAATATAAAACGACTGGATTATTCTTCCACAACGTTTGAACTGTTTATTTATTTATTTATTTAAAAAAAATATCTTACATATACAACGTTTGAACTGTTTATTTATTTATTTTTTTAAAAAAATATCTTACATATAAATACAAAAATATTATCATAAGTTTTATTGTTGCGTAATTAAATGAAAAATAATCTTTTAAAAAAATTATTGAATCTAATAACATAACTCTCTCTACGAGTTTTTCTAGTTGTCTTTTAAAAAAATTATTGAATCTAATAACTCTCTCTACAAGTTTTTCTAGTTAAAATGAATTCAATTTATTATTTTTTTAATGAAATGTTATTATTTTTTGATTTTATTTTTTAATATTAAATTAATTTAAAATTAAGTTTTTTTTATTTTTTTTTTAAGATTATCCTCACAAGATTCACGTTAGTCCAATCAACCCAAGTGAATTAAGTGTTTTCTATCTTAATATATTCAATTCATAGTTGAAATCTATTTTTTTAGAAGACATGGTATGATATATAAATATTTTTTACACTTAATTTTTTTTATTTCGACTAAAATAAGTAGTGTTTATTTTTTTAAAATGGACACAACAAATAACTAATAAAAGTCATTAATTACTATTTTTTCCACCACTCTTAAAATTTTAGGCTTAACCTTGCCTAATGCTTTGTGTTATGAGACTGTATTTTTAATATAAAACCCGGACCATCACAAGGCCTTCCCATGAAAATGGCAAAGCTTAGACGCGTAAACAAACATAAAACACAACCACCAAAGCAAATGGCGAAGAGGAAAAAAAAAAGATTTTAAATAACAACAACAACAGAATGTCACCTCTCTCTTTCTCTCAGAATGCGTGGTGCAATCCGCTCCTGGGAGACAACCATCTGCAGGTCCAATCTCTGACTTTTGTCCGTCCTTTTTCTTCTTTTCTTCCTTTTTTATAGTTATTTCATGCATGCCCATACGTTTCTTCAGTTAACGCAGAGGGTAATTTCTTGACTTTTGTACACCCTTAATTTCTTTTTACTACTGCCTCGTGCTCTTCATGTTCAAAGGTATTCAAGCCCTCGATCCCCCATCTCTCCTGCCCCTACTTGGTGCTATATATAGCAGCACAGTCTATTCTACCAGCCAAAGAGCCAAATCACACTCTCCTTCCTCTTGCTTCTTAATTTCACCATGGCAGACCCTTGCTTCAATCTCATCACTGGATCTTTCAACTTCATGCCTCTTAATCCTCATTACACGGCTTTCACTTCTTACCCAAACAACCACTTGTTCAACACCAAATCATCCATTCCTTTTGCCCAGCCTCAAAAAGAAGCACCTTCCCTTGTAGAATATTTACGCCCTATAAGACAACAAGAAGACCACCTCGAGTCCTCGAGTAGTTCCATGGAAGAGGACAGGAACATGAAAAAGGATGATGAGAACCTCTTTTTTAGTACTGCAGATGGTAATGATAAGCCAGTGTCTGTAGTTCTGCGCATAGGCCTCCCTAACCCTAGTTCTAATCTGCAGAGAGTACTCGGGGTTTCCCCATCTGCAAATGGGCCAGATAAGGAAGATATTAGTGCAGTTTCAGGGTACCCCTTGGAGAAACTAAACAAGGATCAGTATTGGATTCCTACACCTTCCCAGATTCTCATTGGTCCAAGTCAATTTTCATGTCCTCTTTGCTTCAAGACCTTTAACAGATACAACAACTTGCAGGCATGCCATATTTTCTCGAAACATGTCTCATTAAGCTCTTCTTGTTTCTCTTTTACTTTTATCTACTTAATTTTTTCTTGCTTCCTTATCAGCTGGATCTTGGTATTTTGTTTCTCATGATTAATCAACAATAATTATTTAACTTCTTGCAGTAGTAGCATAGTACGTTAGCCTAGTACAGAAGGTCTCTGTCTACCTTAATTTGTTTGTTTGACTTCCATTTTGCATAAACTTCATATATCTTAACTATGTTGAGATCTGTCGTGAATAATTGATTTTTCTTTCAAGTGCCAACTGAGATTTTTTGCGTGATTTGACCTTTCATGAGACGTCCTTGTGCTTCTGTTACTTTGAAGATTAGGCTAAGGTCAGCTACTGCGGTGGTTTAAAGAAAACAAATGCAGTGCTTCAGAGTTCTGAAAAATCTGCAGATAAGGCCTTGCTGAACAGTGAAATTCAGAGTGCTCCGATCCCTTTCATGTCTGTAAGAGTTCACCGAAGATTCAGGTTGTTTTTACTGAAAACCTGGTCAGCTCCCAACCCGAACACTGTGTGTACCTTTAAAGGCACATGCTAATGTCTGTTACAACTAATTCTAGTATTTGTGCAACCCTAAGTTAAGCTTAAAGCCTGGCATGCACAATCTCTCAAGGTTATCTAAATCCTACCAGTCCCTTTGAATATTATGAGGAGGCTGCTAGAGTTTGATCTCCCAACCTTTCATTTTCTTGTAGTGAATCTTGCCTAATTTTTTATATGCATTGTATAACCCAGGACCCAGTACGCATCTCAGATGGATCAAACGTCATGCCCCTCTACCCAGGGCATTCCTTTCGTAGCCATTGATCACAACGCTTGTTTGTTTGTTCTTCTCTCTCTCTTTATATCTAGCTCAGCTGGGTTTTGGTTAATATTGCAGATGCACATGTGGGGACATGGATCTCAGTACAGAAAAGGACCCGACTCTTTAAGAGGAACCCAACCAACAGGAATGCTAAGACTTCGATGTTATTGTTATGCACAAGGTTGCAAACACAATATTGATCATCCAAGAGCAAGACCACTCAAAGATTTTAGGACTCTCCAAACACACTACAAAAGAAAGCATGGAATCAAACCCTTCATGTGTAGAAAATGTGGCAAGTCATTTGCAGTGAAAGGTGACTGGAGAACACATGAAAAGAACTGTGGGAAAATATGGTATTGCATTTGTGGGTCCGATTTTAAGCACAAGAGGTCTCTAAAAGACCACATTAAGGCCTTTGGCCATGGCCATGCAGCTTTTGGCATTGATTGCTTTGAAGAAGAGGATGAACTGGCATCTGAAAGCGAACATGATTGTGAATCCTCTATGTAATCAATAGGATTTAATTTAGGAGAATCCTCCCATGCACCTTTATGACTATATCCTTAGCTTAAACTTTATATTTCTCATGATGGGGGTGCATTAATTTGTCTGGTTGCCCGATTTTTCTCGCTTGCGTATTTCTAGGCATAATTTTAATTAGTTTCCATAACCATGTTAGACCAGGTTGTCAAACTCCACCCACGTACAAGGAAGAAACTAATTAAACCAGTGCAAGTCTTATTTTATATATATATAAGCTATCCTCGTTGCTCTATAGTGCGTGGAGATCTTTCTCAGATGGTCAAATGGAATTAAGCGCATAGTTTTGATAAGTGCTTGCTGGTGCAAGCCTTGTTACTTATATATAAACTAGTTTCGTTACTGGTGTATTGTGCGTAGATTCTTCTTCTTTCGCCTTCAATGGATGTGCTGTAAAGCTTTGATAAGTGCATGCTACGGTATTATTACTGGGATGCTAATTGCTTATTTTGTCTGGGAACAAGCATATTTACGTAATTATTAAACTATTGCAAGCCATTTCTTTATGATAGATTTTGACAGAATACTTTTATTAAAAATAAACAGTACGTAAGACTAGGATTCCTTAAGCTGTTTTCGTGATTCTCGTCTTCTTGATTTTCTTTTATTCCTAGCTAGTCTAGTCATTTCAGGTTGCACAAGTTCTTTTGTTTAGAGCTATCTCTTGACGTGTCCATTTTTTATTATTTAATTCATGTAAATCATGAAACTCTTAAATTTATTAAACAATTGATAGTACTAGCTATGTTTTACATGGATAAAAAAAATAGACGATCACAAAGAAAATTAGCCTTTAGCCAGCTAAATAGCATGCTAATGATTGAAATCAATGGAAAACCTAAGGACTTTTCTAGCTGAAGCTCCTTAAATTTCTCGTATGTAAATAATAATATATTTGAAAATTTTAAATCTCAAGTTATTAGTTTAAATGATAATTTAAATAATATAAAACAAATAACAACAACAATAAATAAACTATTAATAAAAAAATTATATCTAAATTTATTTGGATTATAAAACAATTCAATGTTAATCCAACCGAAGAAAAATAAAATAAAAAGTCAAACTCAAAAAAAAAAATATTAGCTTAAAAAATAAATGAAACTTATCGAAATGTTTTACATTTGGTCTAATTTAAAAAACCTTGCAACTTATTAAATTATGAAACCGAGTTCAAATAAAAAGTTAAAAATGATATAATAAGGGTGAAGTTATTAGAAAACTATTAATAAAAAAACTTGTAAAATAAAAAAATAACAAAAAAAAAAAGAACGAAGCTATCATTTGATAAAAAAAAACTTAACGAGGATGAGATAAAAAAATACATCCTCAACAAGAAAAATTATAATTAAGAGAATTAGTATTAAATTTAAAAGATTAAAAAAATCACAAAAGATAAAATTAAAAATCATCTGAAATACAATATATTATTTATAAATTTAAAAAATGATAGGGAATGAAGCAGGAAAAAATTATTAAGAGCTGATCCAATAAAATCAAACCGAAAAAAAAGTTGAAAAAAATTAAAAAAAATTAAATAAAAAAATTAAAATTAAAAAAATATCAATTTAAAAAAAAACATAAAAAATTAAAAAAATATTAATTAAAAAAAAACATAAGACAAACTTGAAAAAATCTTTTAAACATGATCTAATATCTAAAAGTCGCATGTTATTAAATTTTTATATTGATATTCAATTAACAAGCATTCAAGGGGGATGCAATTTAATAAAAATAATTTAGATAAAATAAATATTAATTAAAAAATAAAAATTAAATTTTAAAAATTAAAAATATCATAAGAGTGAAATGAAAAATATCTACAAAAATATTAACTAATAGTTCAGAGATTTAACACAAATACCCCTCCTCCTGATATTTGAAATGAGTGATGAAATTACTATAACAATACTTTAGGAGAGAGAAAGCAAGAGCCCATTATTGTTGTTTAAGTGACTCGATCCATTAAATAGTCACGGACGTGACTCTTTATCTTTTTTAAATTTCAAGTGATGTATTTATCTTTATTCATTCCGAACAGTATGATACATTAACTTAATACTATATTAATCTTTATATTTATCATATAGAGTTTAGTTATTACATATAAATTCATGACCAAGCAGGTCATGGAGAACTTGGAAAGTATTGTATGGACAGCTACACAAATGATGGATATGCCGCTTTTCTTCTGGGCTACTCTCTTCGTTCTTGCTGTTCGCGTTTTGTAGACTTACTATCGTGGTTCAAATAACTCAATATGGATTTATCTCATCTTTCTCTTCCTGTTAAAAACTCTAACTAAGAGCATAAGGATCAATCGTCAAGAGTATTAAAAAAACTACATACAGTGTTGGTGTCCAACAACAGTCTCTCTAGCTTGAAGAAATTATCTTTGACAAGCTAGCTACTCGAGCTAATATTTAGACCGATCGTACAAGTCCTCTGAGATTAAGAAACTAGTTGTAGAACCAATGTTACAATGCAAGTACTTTTCCTGTAATTTTGATTAGCAAAATGGTTCCCTTGTCGTTGTTACTCGACAAACTTGAAACAGGGACTTGATGATGGAAAGAACTAAGAAATAGAAGGAGAAAAGATGACATGGGCCCATGTTTCCAGATCAAAATTCATGGGCTACTATTATATTCTGGACAATTATCGAAGCTATTGGTGTAATTGGGCTTTATTATAAAGGCTCTAGCTACGAGCCCCATCAATGACCTCTGTCTCTGTGGTGAATTCACCCGCAACATGGCTATGGCATGCTCTCTCCCCCAGACCCTTCACTACAAGCCATCAAATGCGTTAAAAATCAGGTCATCTTCAAAAATTGATGAAACAAGACTAAATATCAATCGAATCCAAGCCATGAAAAGTTGCTTGAGATGCAATACTCTTTATCTTGACAAAGATAACTCCCCAACTGCCTGATCTTTCCATGGCCACACCACGGGTATGTGCCCCACCTCACCTAAATGAAATCCCAGTCTCTCACTCTCTCTTTTTTTTAATGGGAGTTTTATGTTTACAATGTTTTGTGTAGGGGAGAAGGGGTTATACGCTTTGGCTCCACCACACCAGGGTATTGACGGAGAGTGGAGTGACCGCTCTGTAGTGATAGTGTATAAATGGAATGACAAGAATAATAGACCAAATACTGGAAGTGTCAATTGGAAGAAAAGATGGAGTTGCTGTGCTGAGTATGATGAAAATGCTCCACCTTGTAGACGGGGATGTCATGTTTCATATGACGATGGCTTCACTCTGTATTAACCCAAAAATTGTGCTGTTAGCTAAATTCAGAAATCAAGGATACAATTTAGGATGAGGTGGAAATGCAAGCATCGATAAAGTTTGCTTGGGTAATGTCTGATGTTTAGACAAATTAGGCTTGGACATTAAAGTATTTCCTGTGTTTTTCTATTTATCTACACCATGATTAACAGATATCATTTTCTTGGATATTAAGCTCCCTGTCTTGTTTTTTCATTCAAAAGTCATGTGGCTGAACATTTTCTTTTCCTTGTGGACAAATAGAGCAATTTGATTGATTTTTCCTTTTTGTTGTGTTCAGCAGCAACGATTGCTTGCAAGGTGTATTCGGAACTGATATAATATTATCTGAGGATGAATATGCTTTACATTTAAGCTGGAATTCAAAGTCTTCTATTTCAGGATATCCACAATTTAAGCTTTCAGGCTACCCGGTGATCAAAGACACAAAATTCACTGACAATCTGTAAATATGTGTCCTGCTACCTGAGTTAATGATGCTTTACCATTGTCGGAATGCATTTTGATAGAGAATTGCAGCAGAAACCAGAGGTCATGCAAAGGCCAGTAGAGAACGGAGAATTCATGCAATTATGCATGCCTGTCCAGCACAAAAGCTGATGTTGCAGAGTAATGTGTCTCTATCCTTCATTCACACGGCTTAATCTGAATACTAGAAGCAATTGATGAAGAGCTATATATCCATGGTGAATTCCTAAACTATGGTATTGTTAGGGCCAACACTATGAAACAGAACATCATGCAAATGAACCTTTTAACGATCACTTGAGATGGCCAGGTTTATCTTTCATGTTTTCAATCCAACAGCTAATTCTCGTTCTGATTACCAAAATGTTCACTGTCATGATCTCAATGGGCAGCTGTTCATATAAAATTCCCTGCTGTATAAATATTGCAAATAACATATATCATTACATTGCCACAAGTCAGAACATTTTTCACAAGCTTGATTTCCATTTCTTGTTGGTGCTGAGTTCCAAAGGGCACAATTCCAGACATAAATTTATAATCCACTAATAAAGATACATAAATAAGATACAACAAAAGGTTTTATTAAAACAATAAGTCTTTACTTTACATGAAATTCTAAGATCAAACATACTCAAAACAAGCAATTAAGCTTCAGCTTGTATTAAACCAAACCTTTCACCCCCCCTCTAATATTAGACAACAGTCTTAAATGACTGGTGAAGATGCCTCAAAGTCTCTTGATCCTTATTCCATTCAGGTGTTGGTGCATTGACAAAATGAGCATATAGCTTATTGTTAGCACAAGTAACCTTGATCAAGCTATGCTTCCCCACCCCATCAATCTCATAAACATAATACAGTTGTCCATTCCCATCTTTCTCCTCTTCACTCACCACACTATCTGCACCAGATATCAAGTCTTGCAAGTCCACATCAGACAAGGCCAGGTTGTTTAACACAGAATCTTTTGGAGCTAGCTGCCGGAAACCAGAAAGATATGTCAAGTACTCCTTTTCGGTTCTCTTCTTTGGATTGTAGAACTCGCTATCAGTTCCATTAGTACCTTTTTCAACTTTGGAGACTAAACGTTCTTTCCATCCATCAGGGACATCATAGACGTACTCAGCAGAAGCTTTCTTGTCCGAGTTGCCACCATATCCGCCGTAATTGGCGGCACTGGCTGCGGTGCCGTAGTAGATGTGGAATGTTTGTGAAGGGTCTGCCAGGGAAGGGGTGGTTGCAGTTAATATGGTGGTGGCTGCAATGGTGGCAGCTAGTGTTGTAAGGTGTGGCTTGTTGGGCGGGGAAATGGGCAGGTGGGTTTTGGACAGCGATGGGGTTTGTGGTGGTTTTGGGGTGGTGGAGGTGGAGGAGAGGCAGGCTGATGAAGAGAGAATGGTAGCCATGGGATTGGCTAATAGCGGGTAAGGTGCTTTCTTGTGTTTTATCTTGAATTCAGCATTTTTCTTATCCAATCAAGGTATGAGGAGAGAGAAGGTTCATAAGGTGTTGGACCAATGGACACCTGCCAGGTCATGTTAGTTTTGCTTGGATGTTTTTGGATGGAACCCATTTAAGTTTTATCCATTTTATTAGCAATAAAAAATTGAAAAATATGGACACAAGTGGAGATGCAGGGGATCGAACCCTGTACCTCTCGCATGCAAAGCGAGCGCTCTACCATTTGAGCTACATCCCCCACCATGTCGACGGTCTTTAACGTATACATAATTAAATAAACATTCCTTCTTTTTAGTTCAATTTAGCTATTTCCACGGATATTGATCGGGCGTGTTTATTTCACAAAAAAGGTTGACTGAATTGAACAACTGTATTTCTCGTTTCGTGATTTAAGTTACATCAATTATAGTTCATGCTCTGTTATGTCTCGAACGTAATTCAATTCGATGCATGGTAATGGAACCTCAATCCTGCCTTCAGTTCTCTACGTGACAAGTTGTTATGTTTATGTTTCTCGTACATAGATTCTTCTTACAAAATTGGTATTAAATAAAGAATTTATAACTTTTTTTTCTCTAAATTGAATGTGAACATCCCTTGAGGAAAAAATAAAACGTATCTCTGTGAATTTCTCTCGACCGTTACAATGTAAACAAGATCCTTAAAATTAAAGATAAGCTCATAAAAATAAGAAAAGCTTAAAGTGATTCATAATTAAAGCCGCCGCACTCAAGTTTATGACACTATAATTTTTACGTTATAGTCCTAAGTTCAAGTTATTGAATCGAAGACAGGTGAAATTTATCTACCTTAAAGAACATTAACATATTAAGGAGTTTGCAACCAAAACAATTATCAAGCTCCAAATAATCTTTTGATAATAGAGACATGTTATTAATTAAGTTATTGCAAAATAAAAATAAAAAAGGAAATAAATTCTAAGCTTATCCTAAATTCATACTTAAATTTATTTTAAAATGACATTATTTTAGGAAAAAAAAACATAAAAAAGCTACCTGTAACTGTGTCAAATGTGAACGAGATGCACACTTCGACAGGCTGTTCAAAATAGTATTCGGGGGTGTTGATAGCTATACCAACAGTAAAAAAAATTGGCAGCGCAAATTTGTACAGCTGTAGGTTTGTTAAAGGAAAATTGGTAGTGTAGATTATTGACGGACATGGATTGGACGATGGACCATACAAGCCAACAGGAAAACCTGTTAAGGGGATAGGTTGACGAGAACTGGGGTTGTTGTGGAATTTGACGGCGTGGACAGTGGCAATCTGCATGCAGATGCGATTCGGCAATGTAGAATTGGCAGCCTGCATGCGGATGCAAATTCGGCAGCACGCAACAGCTTATGTAAGTCATGCAACAGATCAACAACAAACGCAACAAGGATTGATAGTTGGGGCTGTCAGGTGGGCATGAAAAATGTGGGTTAATGGCAGTTATGAATTTCCAAGATCATAGAATCATGGGGGCTGAAAACATGGGGGCTAACTAGGGGTTGCTCTCAACCCACTAAGATCATGGGAGATCATGGAAAAAATTACCCCCTACTTGGTAGATCATGGGGTCATTATGTTCATAGGTGAAATAGTGTCCCACTACTTTCTTAAAAGTAGGAATGAGAGTTGTGCCTTGTAAATGTTTGTTTATAAATACTTATTACAGCTCTTGATTGTGAGAGAGGTATGTATAGGCATGTAGCAGCATGTGTGGAGCATGTTCAGCATGTAGGGACATGCAAAAACATGTAAAGTACAAGTTAGAGATAGCTTGGTATAACATGTAATCTTTGTGCATAATACACATTCGAATTTGTGTATAGTTCCATTTGTTTACGAGATCAATAAAAGTTGGAAAAAAGTTTTTGAAAAACTTGTTATGTACTTTGATTATCTTATTCTACTTGTTTATTCTGTTTGTTTATTTATTAGGCAAATATAAGTAAAATTGATGAAAAAAAATTGAGTCTAATGAGGTATTAGACTACCGCACATATTTATTTATATAGCAAAAAATTAGCCGTGATACTATCCCAATAATCATGCCATAAGCTTGTCTGAAGAGCTAAGAAAATCATAAAAATACCCCTATACTTGTTAAAATTTAATTTCTGCCCCTCGAAACTCGCCAATTATCAATTTTGTTTTAAAGAATATTTGGTCCTCTACCTAGCAAGTAGTAGGCGACAGAGCGGAAGATAGGTGGACGAGAGACAGGCACCTTTCCTCTTAAAATTTGGCAAACTCCCTCACGTGATTGACACCCTTCTATTTCGCTTCCTTTCCTTTCCTCTCCCCTTATTTTCCTTTTCTTCTCATTTTCCACTGTTATTCATAATATTATAATAACAATAGTCATTTTGGTTAATACAAGCTCCAGATTAGGGTTTCAGTTATTCGTCCACCTTCCGCTTTCGTTTTCTTTCGAATTAATTAACATCATTCTTTATGTCTAAAAGGTAATTAATCTTCTAAACTTTTTGATAGTTTCTTTTATTCTGCTCATGGTCTTATATGTTTGATTGCTGATTATTAATTCATGATCAATGTATTTTTTTTCCCAACTATGATGTGCCAATTTTGATTGAATTGTAGGGAAATGATTAAAATAGTTGTTAATTTATTATTGAATTAATGGATAGGTTCTGCCTCTCAAGCTTGAATTTTTGTTTTGATATGGTTGATATTCATGCACCTAGTCAGTTGAATGATGATAAGGGCATGTAATAAGGTGGAGGATGGAACTTTTATTGATCATGATTTTGTGTTTTTTTTTTTTTTCAGGTTACTATGCAAGTTCTTTGCTCATGGGGCGTGTTTGAAAGGGGAACATTGTGAATTTTCACATGACTGGAAAGATCCTCCAAATAATGTAAATACTATGTTTTAGCCATGGTTTTAAATTTTTTTTTCCTGTTTGGTTGTTTATACGTGGTTATTTTAATTATTGCCTTTTAATTGTTTGTTAATGCAGATGTGTACATTTTATCAAAAAGGTATCTGTGTGTATGGCAGTCGATGCCGATATGATCATGTTAAACCTTCTAGGCCTGAATCTACAGCATCATCTTCTTTGACAGTTCTGGCTTCATCTTCTGTTTCCCTGGCCTTTCCTGCAAGAACTGGATCAAGTGGGGTGAGGACAGTACTGGCGGTTCCTCCAGAGCTTTCGGCTTCAAGTAGACCCTTTATTGCTCCCACGACGCCAGCATGGGATTTGGAGTCTGTGCAACATGACTTCTTAGAAGATGGTGGTGGTGAGGTCATACAGCCTAGGAATGTTAAACCAGCTGATCGATCTCTCTGTTCATTTGCTGCTGCTGGTAGCTGTCCTCGTGGAGATAAATGTCCTCATATTCATGGTGACCTATGTGCCTATTGTGGGAAGCATTGTTTGCATCCTTTCAGACCTGATGAAAGAAATGAGCATTTGAAAGCATGTGAGAAGAAGCAAAAGAACCTTGACTTATTAAAATATAGTCAAGAAATAGAGTGCAGTGTATGCTTGGATCGTGTACTTTCAAAGCCCACAGCAGCTGAGCGGAAGTTTGGGCTGCTATCAGAATGCAATCATCCATTCTGCATATCGTGTATCAGGAATTGGCGTGGCAGTTCCCCAACCTCTGGAATGGATGTTAATTCTTCATTGAGGGCTTGCCCAATATGTCGCAAGCTTTCATACTTTGTTATCCCAAGTGTCATTTGGTATTCCACTAAAGAGGAAAAACAGGAAATAGTGGATACCTACAAGGAAAAGCTCAGGTAATCGTTTATCAAATGTATTCTGCTTCCATATCTGCTACCTAATTACTGGATCATCAATATATTCTTGATCAGTTTTGAAGAATTTGCAAAATTTATGTACAAAATGTTTGAAATGTTTCAACATATAACAGTCATTTTTCTTCATATGGTGAAAAATGAAAAAAAGAATCATCTTGCATATCCTCCTAGGAGATTGGTATGTTATTTTGTGATAATGTAGGTTGTAAAGTTCCATCTTGTAAATGATACTTGTGATTAAAAACCAGGTAGATAACCAATGAACTCAAGATTTTTGAAGTTGTCGAATAATCATATATTTACTTTGACTTTTGTAGGTCAATAGATTGCAAACACTTTGACTTTGGGAATGGGAACTGCCCATTTGGAACCAGCTGCTTTTACAAGGTAAAGTGCCTTCTTGGTCTGTTCATTGGAATGTTATGGGGGGATTCTCGCTGTAGTTTGGACAATTTTGTTTTTTCAACTCTATTTTTGCTCATTAAATGCTAGCCAACCAAAAACGATCTATCATCTGTAGCTGTGTTTGCCCCCATTTTTTTTACCCTTTTCCCTACTTATGTTGGACTTTTGGCATGTGCTGTTAGACAGTAACGTCAGATCTGCTCAACACTCCTTTTGCTTTCCTCTTTTTTTTTTTTTTTGTTTTGTTTTTTGTGTGTATGTGTCTTGAATGTTGCTTTTCATGTATTTAGTGGGAGCCATATATTTACCTCAGTGGCAGCCTTACTAATTCAGCAGGAAAGTGTGATATTGGGTGTCTATAGAAATTAGAATTAGATTTCAAGCCCTAAAGTTCTCTTTTCTCTCTCTTTTGTATGCATAAAGTGGTGTCATTGATGTAGTTAGCTTTTTAACTCTTAATGGATATGATGATGTATTTCGTTCACATGCACTGTAATGGCCTCATGCACGTGTATATATGGCAGACCCCCTTGTTGGAGACCATGCTGATGTGCATCCTATGTTTTGGATATGGATGCATTATCTTATGTGTTTCGAGGACTTAAATGATTATGATTAATTAAACATTTCTTATCCTGAGGATTTAAGTGATGAAGATTAAATGCCTAGGGAAATGGCTTTTTTAGCACTGCATCTAGATTTTAGATCAGGCTACTCTTTCAGTGATCAGGACAATTATCTATTTCGAGTCTATATTTCGATTTAGCATACTGGAAGCACTTACTTTCTGCCAGAGTGTTTGAGTTACCATCCTATTGGGTTTCTAGCAGCTTATTGTTTTAATCACATCAGAAAATACGAAACTCGTAGTTTTGTAACTGTTTTTCTTTTGTAACACGCTAATTATCATAACTGAAATGTCGTTTTTTCTGCACATGTTTTGTTTCTCTCTCTGTATGTTTGCAATTCTACTTGGAAGTTAACCAGCTCAGAAATGTCTCTATATATGGTTAATGTGCTATTGTAAATAGACAAGGTTAAGTACTCGCTATTGTTATGTATTAGTAGCAAGAAAGCAAAGACTCTGTTGTTGATGCATGTGAATTTCATAAAGATTGTGTTTTTAGAAAGTACTTTTGTTGCTCTTAAAGTCTTGCTGACTAGTTACTCTCAAATACTTTGGAAAACAATTTAAGTTTTGTTTATATTTTCTTTTGTTGTAGAAGGGTAGCAAACTGGTGAAAAGTTGCTTTGGACTTGATAGGATGTAATTAGCCAAAATAGAAAAAACAAAGAAAGGTAGGAACATGAAGTTGTGTTGTTGCATGGATGGGCCATAGAAGATAGCACAGTATGTGAACATAAGAAGCAACATGTGATGAGATATCATGAATGCATTTTGCTAATAGGGACAATTTCTCAATCTCTTGTGTTACTTTTTTTCTGCATGCCATTCTATTGACTTCTCAACCTTGTCTCATAAAGTTTTGATCATTGCTATTCTCAATTTGCAGCATGCGTATCGAGATGGCCGCTTGGAGGAAGTGGTCTTACGTCATCTTGGAGCTGAAGATGGACAGGGTGTGATAGCTAAAAATATCAGGTTTGCTTTGTTCCTGCTAACTTAATGTTTCACATAACTAGCTGACAAAACTTTTGTCTTTTGTCTATTATTGATGTGTTTAATCTCTTCTTTCAATTAATTTATTGTTGCCTCAGGCTGTCTGATTTCCTTGGTAGCTTGCAAATAAGGTGAACTGGTGGCGTTCAAATATTTAAATGTAAGTTTCAAGTTCTTAGTATTTCTGCTTTTTCAGGGATCACTGATTTCTGAACTGTTCATGCCCAAGCACGCTGTCACGTGCATGGGCTTGTGTATGTGCACAGACATGCATGCTTGCATTGGTCTCTTAATAGTCAAAGTAACTGTGCACTTTAACTTTCCCAAAATATTCAGGATATCTATCAATGTCAAGAGATTTATTCAACTTTATTGTGGAAGGTCTTCGATCTCTGGTGCCAAACCCAGTTGTTTGCAAGGTAAATTGCCCTGCGAATATTATTATACCCATCAGTTTTTCCTGTATGATGAACTTGTTGTTCTTTGGTTTTTGAAAATGCAATTCTGTGTTTTTTAAGGTAACCTTGACTTAATTTATAAATTTCTGGTGAAATTGCCTGGAATCTTATGCTCTCCAAATCTTTCCTGTTCTAACAACTCAACATGTTCTGTGATATATTCTCGTTGCTAACCATCAGCTTCTATGTTATTCATCATTTCTTCCTTTGAATTTCCATTGTGAAGACCTGATGGTATTTTATGAAGATTTATGGCATAGTTATACTTTATGTCAATCAATCAAGGGTTCATACTACATAATTGTCATATGTTCATAGGGTTTCATTAACCTTGTGAAGTTTCCTTTTATACTTTTCAGTACTTGCTTTCACATTGTGGGTTCTGTTCTGGTCTGTTCTCTTCTATGTACTTAAATGATCCTGTGGGGTTGCAGGTGGCGTGCATAAAATTCTGTCTGGAGAAAACTATTTGCCTTTTTAATATAAGCTTAAAGTTCACAGAATTACTTGGATTTTCCATGTGTTGAATAATAAGTAGGTGCTTTAAGTTACTCTTTAAGATAAACTTTTATTAGATGGTATTGTTTTAGGCCATATTGCTATATACCCCTTTTATCTAGTTTCTCGCTACCAGGCCATGTTATCTTATGTTTCTGAAAATCCTCAATATAAAATTTACTGCCAAATGTAGGATGGCTTTCTGGAGGAGACTTGATTTTGGAAAGCTGAAAGGCGTGCAGGTGTGTTATAATAAGCTGCCTCTTGAGTTATTTTGAAATAATATCATGAAGAACATGCCTAGGCGTGAAAAAATATACCAAGAGGTGATAAAATATGTACTTGTCAAGGAAAAGGATTTGAGTAATGGATGTTTGCGATTAGAATTTGCTTCCCTCACACCGCAAAGGAAAGTGAAAACTACTGGGTTTTGCCCTAATGGTTTGTAATAATTTGATTTTTTGATGACAATGTCATGATGTGGTGTTGCATCATGCTGGAGTGGCCTCTGTATAAAAGTTTTGAACTTTTGAGGTATACATGAGATTTAATACAATGGAGCTCATTTGTATCAATTCACTGTACTGTCATGTTGTGGTGACGATTGCAACTTCGTTGGGTTCTCTCCCTCCCTCCATGTCTTATGCAATT